ACGTGGTGACTGGAAAGTGAGGTGGAGTTTCAGGGTTGTCTCTCTTCTGGCTTGATTAGGCCAGCTGTACTCCTTATTCATTGCACCCATTTCGTTTTTTTTTTTACCCTATTGCCACTATTGTTCCCTCAAAGTACAATCAAAATTGATTATTTCCATTCACCTTGAGTTGAAAGAGCACGGCAGTGCGAGAAAGAAAACCAACAGAGAAGAAAACAAAGACTTTCATTGTTTGCAAACGCAAGAACAATCAAACAATCAATACTTACATAGTGCTTTGTGCGACCGGCCCCGACCTTGGGTTTTTTTTTTCGACTTGCGATATTGAATCTCAACAAACTTTTGTTATCACTTGTACTGTGCTCCATCTGTTCCTGTAGGAAACACCCAGCACGTATCAGCCAAAATGACGTCCTCCGTCTTTTTCAAATTCAAATCTCAAAAGGAGCCTACTCGAGTCGAGTTTGATGGCACCGGTATCTCAGTGTTTGAGCTGAAGCGTGAGATTATCACAAAGAGTGGTCTAGGAGATGGTACCGATTTCGACCTGCATATCTATACCGATGATAACAGCGAAGGTGAGTTGATTGAATCGACATCAGGCAATAACATTGCTAACGACCTAGTAGAATACGACGATGATACAACTATCATTCCAAGGTCAACGACTGTCATTGCCCGACGCCAACCTGCTCTCAAGCCAGGTGCAGGACGCGCAGCTCGTTATGTGTCTGGAAAGATGCCCGTAACAGCCAAAAACGCTGGTCGCAAGGAGCAAGCGGTAAAGGCCTCCTCATCCAAACCCAGCTCTGATGCCATCAGTCAGATGAACAATGCTATGACTGAAGAGGAGAAGATGGCTGCCATGTTTGCAGCACAAACCGAACAGTGGTCTGCTCAACAAGAGGAAATGTCTCAGTATGTTCCAGAAGCCCATACAATGTTACACGGAAACTAACAATTCGCTAGCCAAACACCTGTGTTCAAAGCTGGTGCGAAGAGACCAGCAAACGTCCCTGACCATGACCCTCCGAACGGGTACATCTGTTACCGGTGCGGTAACAAAGGTCATTGGATTCAACTGTGCCCTACTAATGACGACCCCGAATTTGACAACCGCCCGCGTGTCAAACGAACCACGGGTATCCCACGTTCATTCCTGCAAAAGGTTGACAAGTCTGTTGTCCTCGCGCAGACTGAGGGTGATGAGTCCAAGCGTCCGTCAGGTATCATGGTCAATGCCGAGGGGGATTTTGTTATTGCTGAGCCCGATAAGGCTTCGTGGGAGCAGTTCCAGGCCAAGGCCAAGTCTTCATCTACAGCCAACGCACCACTAGCTGAGAACAAGGAGATTCAGGAACAGGGCTTGGAGTGTTCGATTGACAAGAAGATGTTCATAGAGCCAATGAAGACTCCATGCTGTCAGAAGACCTTTTGTAATGATTGCATAACTAATGCTCTCATCGAAAGCGACTTCGTCTGCCCTGCTTGCCAGTCAGAAGGCGTATTGATTGATGACCTTCAGCCAGATGATGAAGCTTCCAAGAAGATTCAAGAGTATTTGAAGGACAAGGAAACGGCCAAGACTCCCCCGCCCCCGTCGCCCAAGACTTTGACGGATGCCAAGTCGGATGGCGAGAAGCAAGAGAAGTCAACAGAAGAGACTAGCGACAATATGGAGCAAAAGCCTGAGAATGAATCAAGTGACAAGACTAAGGACTCGCCTGTCAATGAAAAGTCAAAGTCGCCGGCGTCTCAAACTGCAACTGTCAACTCACCTCCCCCGGGTCCTAAGAACAGTGTATCCACATCTCAAGATACAAACAAACAACTAGATAATCTCAAACCGACAGATACCAGCTCCAAGAAACGGCCCGCTGATGAAATTCTCGACAACCCAAGGATTCCCAGGGGTCCTAAGGCCATGCAGAATCAGCAGAACCAACAGAACATGGTGAATGGCATGGGCATGAATGGCATGGGTATGAACATGGGCATGAATAATATGATGTTCAACGGAATGCCCATGATGCCCAACATGATGGGTATGCCAAACATGGGTAACATGAATATGGGCATGCCAAATATGAATATGATGGGAATGCCTAACATGATGGGAATGCCCGGTTTCCCTGGCATGAATGGCGGATTCGGCGGCATGCCTGGTTGGGACATGGGCATGAATGGAATGAATGGCATGAACGGTATGAACGGCATGGGTAACATGAATGGAGGAATGAACGGCTTTCAGAACGGCAACTTTGGACAGGGTGCTGGCGCGGACGAAGACGCCTACTTTCGCAAGCCAGTTAACCCTCATCGCCACCAGAACAAACAGCGAAGAGTGCGACCAAGCGACTACCGAGAGCTCTGAACATCGATTCGACTATCATTCCTTCTAGCGGTTGCTTCTCCTTTTTGTTCTTGTCGCGTTTTGGATTGGGACTCTAGGCTCATCATGATGTGCTTGATTTGTTAGCATTCTTATTGTCAGGCTGAACTGACTGGCGTTGGGGTATGGCCTTGAAGGATTGTTTATGACAGGTTTCCATGTCTACTACGGACGGCCAAGGGTTCGGGAAACGGTGCATTACTTAACAAGATCTTGAATCAAATCAAGGTCAAGCAATGAATAAACAAACAAATGAACGAAAACTAAGACTCGTCGGGTGCTTTTTTTTTTATGATTGAGTGTGTTTGCATCTCAATTCTAGAGTGTATTATCGTAAGATATCAATCAATTATTTCACAACTCCGCGCCACCCGTGCTCTTTTATATGTGACACTATCTAATGTCTGTTCTCTCGTATTCCACGTCACTTTCTATACCTGTCCCTTGATACCACCAGCGTTACTCAGGAGGAACATACGGCGTAACAAGCATTTCGCTAAACTTCTCAAGCTTCTCCTTTCCTCGTACCTCCTCAACAAGGAGAGGCATCTTGACGACATTGAAGTCCTCAGCATATAGTTCCTCATACTGGTCAAGATACTTGCGCTGCATCTTGCGACGGGCGTTGCACTGATCGCAATCGCTAGCCTTCTTTGGGAAGAGCAGCTGGTTGACAACGATGGAGTGGGTATCGATACCATAACCAGCAAGCTCCTGAATCATACGCTCCGTCTCGTAGAGACTCAGAAACTCTGCAATGCACACACAGACAAACGTGGTGAGTTCAGCGTCCTGGAACTGGGTATTAACCTCGCCGATAGTCTCTCGCAAGGATTCAAGTTTCTGAATCATATCATTGAGGTTCTGTCCATTGGGTAGCTGACCTCCGGAGCCAAGGAAGCCATTGAGGAGAGGACCATACTGTGACGATAGCTGAGAAACCTTTGCGAGAGCCTTCTCGAGAACGGTGGGAAACTGGAGGAAGCGCAGGGTGTGGCCTGTTGGGGCTGTGTCGAAGACGATGGTCTCGTATGAGAGGGACTTGACTTGCTTCAGGACTTCGGCAAAGGACATAGCCTCGTCGATACCAGGGATCTAATGATGTTAGCTCGACCCCAGGAGAAACGTTCCGCCTCAACCTACTGCGAATGCCAGATCCTGCATCATGCCTCCCAGAGGACCACCAGCCGCAGCGTTGACATCATCGGCCTCGCCCTGGCCTGCTAACATATCCTGAATACTACCATTCGGGTCGATCTCCATGGCACTCAGGTTGTCAAACCCATTGACGAGGCGGGCCTCTTTGCCAAATTTCTGGGAGAAAGCATCTGAAAGGTTGTGGGCGGGATCGGTCGAGATGAGAAGAACGGAGCGTCGGACCTTGGCAAGCTGAATCGCGAGAGAGCAAGAAGTCGTGGTCTTGCCGACACCACCCTTGCCACCGACAAAGATCCAACGAAGGCTTCGCTGGTCCAGGAGAGACTGCAGAGAGGGCTCAAGGGCGTCCTCGGCGGAGATAACTGCGGTGGACATTTTGGGCGAACTATGCGATGAGGCGGTAGAGTACAATTTTTGAGTTGGCGTTGAGAATTCAAGCGGTAAGGAACCGTTTGCCTGCCTTAACTGTTGGCGGTAGGCTAGAGTAGAGAGATAAATTGTACAGGGCAGAATCAGGATTTGTGTCCTGTATGTTCTAGAAGGTCTTGGATGGCGGAGTTGGCAATGGTTGCGATTGACCGTTGAATTGGAGGGGTAGTAGCAGACATAATCACGAGTCAGTAATATCGTTTCAGTGGTTTAGTCATGACTCCTTTATTCTGTCAGCACCTGATGCGCCTCAGCGGTGTGCAGGGTAGGCAAGGGCAAGGTAGCTTGAGCAACTGTAGGGCAGACCTAAAGTTGACTTGAATGAGCCGTCAGGATATGATACTGTATTTGCTGTGTAGCATCTGGCTGGGACCATATTGCTGCTAAGAATAGCTGAAGCTCTATTACACGCGACTTGACTGATTGCCTCGTTGTGCCCTTCTCCGGGGCCGGCTCCGTCCATGCGATAGGACTTCAAGTACCGGCGAACGGCGTAGAGCGTGCGGAACCACGCGGAGGGGCTCGTTCTTGAGTCTAATCCTTCTGTAATACAATAATATCATTACTATCAGTCATACATCTCCTATGAATTGCTTATCTGCAGAGCCATGCTGTAAACTTTATCTTGATTATATACCAGTAATTAGATAGCCATTCAGCTGAAGTTGCTGATTCTCTGCACCAAAAGTAGGTACTTTATAGGTAGGCTGTGCAGCCGCAAACAACCCAACTCTCTGCCTCACTCACGTCACCCTTTTACTTCTTCCCCTCCCTCAGGCACCTTCTCAGTTCTGGCCTCAATTTCCCTTCCCTTACAAACACGCAATCCTATAAGCTCCAGAGGTATCCTGCCTGCCTGCCTGCCTGCCTGCCTACCTACCTAGGTTACCTCTTTCCAAAGCTCTTGCTGTCTGTCAGCTTGCACCTACGCCACCTTGACGTCAACCCCGCGGAATAATTGATCATACCTCATCAACTACACCACAGTCAATCACTTTGTACCCCAAATTCAACCATCACGATGGCTTCTCACACGAAAGACCCTATCACGTGCCACGTCCTTGATACGCAGGCTGGCCGCCCTGCTCGTGGCATCCGTGTCCGTCTCGAAGGCCCCATCCCGCCGTCGACCAACCCCCACTCTGCTGCCCAACCTCGACCCAACACCTTCGAATCCATGACCGACGATGATGGCCGTGTTACAGCCTGGCTACCGTATCTTTCTGAGGATGCTGCTGGAGAGCCTCCTCTTCAGACTCTCGTTGAGGTGCTTGAGGACCGCAAGGGGCAGGGTTCGTCGCGATGGACGCTGCGTTTTGACACCGGAGCTTACTTTGGCGAAGAAAATACCTTCTTCCCTGAAGTGACGGTAACATTCCGTGTCGAAGAGGGACAGACGTATCATGTTCCCCTGCTGCTGAGTCCCTACAGTTATACTTCCTACCGTGGAAGCTAAATGGGCGGCAGCAGGCTCCGTAGCATACGGAGCGAAATGACCGGAATCAGGGGCTGAATCGCATGATAAGGAATCGATGCTAAGGCGATTTTTAGAATCCCATTTATGAACCACTACTGGTATGATATGACGATAGCACAGAGACGATGGCAACGTTACGATCATAGCGATAAAGCTACTTATTAATTCTTAAAAGAGTGTCCGTGTCGGCTACTTCCTTCCAAGCCAAGCCAACTGGCTATATGAGTGACATTGCTGTCTCTGCCCTACCAGAGGGACTTTAAAATCCAAGTATTTGCACTGTTTGCCAGGTGATACTTCTCCTCGCCGATCAAGAAACCGTGATCCGGGTAAACGCCACGCTGTCCACAAAAGAAAAGTAAAGAAAGTGATTTTTTTTTCCGCAAGAAAAGCATCTGGGTGATGCGTTCGTCAAAGGTCATCAGGTTCGGCCGTATACGTCGTCGTAGAGATCATGATTGTTCCGATCTGAGTGAATTGTTGCACTGTTTGCTCGGAAGGTTATACAACACCTCTAGCCCCTCCGAAACTTGCTCATAAATCCTTTCTTAGAGCGATGGGTTGGTACGTCAGGCGAAGTTGGTGGTGTGTCCTCTTCGTCTCTCCTCGTGTTCCTAGACGCGAGACTATCGGTCTCGTCCTTGGAGAGTCGGATGCTTGATGTGGATGGGCGAAAGCTGTTCATAGATGGGTTGCCGGCTCTGATGCTCTCGTTATCTCCAACATCAGATTGAACCAGGGAGAACACACTGTAGAGAGCTTCCGAAGTAGGGGTTATGCGCCCATGGTTGAGAGTGCGTCGTTTCTTCCTAAGGAAAGACCGCCGAGTTCGCATAAGTGCTCGGTCAGGATCGATATCTTCTTGAGTGAGACAAGCGTTGGGTGAAAGATCCGCATCTGGATGTGGGAGTGTGGTGTTTCGGACTATAACATGGTTAGAAACAGATATTACATTGTGGTAGTTAGGTACCGACTAAATAGATACTCACCATTGTTAAAGGGCTCCGGGAATCCTGTGTCCCTTGGTTCTCTCGATTCCCTTCGAGGCTTGGCGGTACTGGTAGTAGTGATAGTATCCGCCATGGTTTCGGTAGATTTGGAGTGTGTAGAATGAGAAGTCATTTGATGGTCGGCCGAGAGTTGAGTATGTGCTTGTTTTTTTATGAGAAGAATTAAAAGTAAAGAGAAAAAAACGGCGATTTCGCTCAGTCCTTGACTACATCGACTCTTGTTGACTGTGGCTTGTATTACCACATGAGGCAAGTTCAGATGGACGTGAGAGAGCGTGCGTGCGTGCGTGTAAGCGGGCGCGATACCGTTTTCGTCTCCCGCCAGAGCAAAGCCTCAGCGGTTGCACGTAACCTTGAGCTATCCAGAGAGAAAGCACCAAGGGGCAGAGTGCAAAGAAGGATGATGAGGCAGTTATGTTTTGTTGGTCTGTCAGTGAAGAAAAAGGAGATTTCACTTTCGCTTCAGTGAAGAGAAGGCCGGAAGATTTTTGGTCAAATTAAACCAGCGGCAGGGGACGAGTTTGGAGTAAGTAGGTAGGTAGCACAGACAGCGCTGTAGTCTGTAATAGCTGGGCTGAAGTTGCTGGGGTAGGGGATTTGGGTAGAGGAACGATAGTGAGCGATGGGCGATGGGGGGCCAGACAGGGTTATATTCCGCCCACAGAATGATGAGCTACATGGAATGATTACGATTAGCTTCTTCTTCTTCTTCTTCTGCTTGGCCTACAGCCTCCTCAAGCGCTGAGTTTGATCGGATCTTCGGCGCGTCCAATGTCGAGCTTAATCGTGAGGCTTGGCTCTCGCTATTCGGCACCTCAGCCAAGAGAGACAGTGAGCAACCAAGCCCAGCCAAGCAAGCAGCAGCGGTAAAGTGGCACTTTGCCTGCGCCCCAGAGAGAGCAAGTCTTAAAAAGACAGAAAGGACAGGGGTGCGAAGAAGGGCAAAAAGTGCGTAATCGACAAGGGATGGAGTGGTTCCAGAGGCAGGTAAAACTCCGAAAAGAAAGACAGACAGACAGACAAGTTCTGTGAACAAAGAAACGCAAAAGAGTGAATGAACAACTCAACTCACCTTATCTCGTCTTACAATGTCTTGCCAGTAGCAAAGACGGATCTGATGGGCGCTGCCTCAAGAAAGCACGAAGGCTAAATAAATAAAACAATGAAACTCGATGTAGCTGAGGATCTGCACAATGGGAATTTCCTAGTATAGAACCGACTCTGTTGTATCGCAATTTCACGCCGGAGACTCTTTCAGTGGTGTTAGTGGCCTGGGGTACTCCGTACAGGCAGTTTGTAAGGTACTAAGGTACGGAGTACATATGCGTCAAGTGGCGTTGCCTCTGCTTGAGGCTCGGCCCAGGACCAGGCGCTTCGTTAGCGGGCTCTTGGCTCAGTATCCGTAAGTGGTGGGGTCGTCGTTCGTCAGCCGAGAATTGGCTGCTCTCGCTTGGCGAGAATGATTTGTTGGGCAAAAACGGCGGCGTGACAGTACCTAGGTAGCCACAACGACGGAGACTTTGGTAGACGTTGGCCAGCGGGCAGGTGCCTATTATTGGGTCAAGTTCTGCTTATCCTGCGCCTCTAGTGACGAGACAAGACACAACGGTCAGATTCTAAAGGAATCGAGTGAGAAACGATGGATAATGGAGGGATGAGCAACTCAAAGTTCCATTGCCGCTTCGTATCTGGCTGGGTTATTCTGCCTCATTTATAAGCTATCAATTGCGTTGTCAGCATCACAAGATAGCGCCTGTGTGCCCAACTGTCTCTGATGCTTCATCGTTATTCATCAGTTCACTCACTGATTCCGTGCCGACCAAGCGGTTTTCCCTTTCCCCTCTCTTTTGTTCTTCCCCAACAGCCCGGGATATGCCCAGTAGTATCATGAACAGGCCCCCAGTACACATGACGACAAAACGGACCGTGCAGCTGGACTCCAGCCGGTGTCTCGCAGGCCGTACAGCAACTAGTGTTAGTGGTTCGCCAAGTAGTTCTGCTGTGCCCAGTAGGCCAAGGTCCAAGGGGGCCCGCTCATCGTCGAGTGTCAAAAGAGTACAGGTTCCTCATTGTCAAGGTCCTGGGATTGGTAGATTCGTAAGAGACGGCAGGACGGCATTCGATTTCGATGGCGGGGTCACCGATACCTTAGTCCCCTCACTGACAATGATGTGTCTCTTCTTGGCGAGTCTACAAAAACAACACTCACTACTCCGTACTATATCTGTTTTCGCTATTCCCGCCGATGGGCTCTGTAATTTCAACATCTAACCCCTCGGCCCCTAGTGAATCAGGTCCAGCTCCCCATGCCCCGCTCATTCCCGCTAATATACCTAGATGAATGTCCGTACATCATATCAAATAATAAACACTTTTCAGGACGGGAATGGAGATTGGCTCCCTCCCAATTTCCACTCAGTCCTCTATTCCGGCCCCTGATTTAAGCCTTAGGAACACTTACAGCACAAGATCTACTAACAACATTCTTGATCGTGCTGGTGGGTAGACGATGGGTAGAGATTAGAGCCATGACTCCTATCCTCATACCGCCAACTCCTGTAACCTCAATTCACGCATATGTACTTGTACTTTGCGGGGGGTTCCTTGGCTGCGAAGAAGGGTGGCTACCGGTGATCCAATCCAATGACAAGAAGCCCGCTAAACATCGAGTCGGGTGTGCCTACTGCAAGTCCTGAAGTATGTATGCTCCGGCTGGCTTTGCAACCTTGGGTCTTGAGTGAAGCATGATTTCCTAGGCAATCTAACAACGTCAAGCCCTGACTAATGGAATGGCTTCAACATTCAGACTCTCCCTCCTGTCTGCCTTCGTCAAAAGAAATCGAGGCTCTGCGTGGGTAAAGGACGCCACGCCAAAGCTGCATTTTGATAGGCCAGCCCGTATCCTTGGCATGACTGACTTCCGACTATCGAGTTGCGTTGCACCTCGTAAACGGGATAGACTGCCCTGCCCGTTGACACTTGCTTACAAGCGGTTAAGTGGTAGGTTTCGTTCCCATCGACAGAGTGCCTCAGCATCCCCGGTTGCAACATATATGCCGAGTCGCCCTGAGTCTAAGTATGCAATCACCCAGTTTTGTTTATGTACCGAAAACTTAAGTTTGCGGTCATCGGCAATTCCGCGTCTAGTCGATCTTGTGTGGAGAAATTGCTCCAGCGACTATGACGATACTGCTTGGCCTCCTCCGCTGATCACGCACTATCAGCTACCAAACTAGCCATGCCGAGTTTCATGTTGCAAATCAACAACAAGTTTTGATCGGCATTGGGTGCAGATATTAGACTGGCAGATGGGCAGATGATGCATATAGGTAAGCTGGTCAGAAGATCAGGGCGTGGTCTCCAAATTGTCCCACATCTGTCTACTGGTATGAATACAAGTCACGTACGTGTTGGCTGATGGTTGTTTTGCAAAGCTTTTGATGGAAGCATCTTGAAATGTTGCGAAAATCTATTGAGTATTGATACCTAACTTCTTCTGTTACTTCCCTAGAATGGTAAAGACAAATCCATTATGCTACGCCATAATAACCATCATTGACTCAAGACATGTTCAGACTGAAAGCAACAACAATGATCCTAGTTACCTCTCCGGCCACCAGTGCTCATGAGTGTGATTTTCTGTTTCTTCTTCTTCTTGCCCCCGGCACTATTGTTGATTCCTCCTCCAACTCCAGCTGCAGTATTTGAACTGACGCTACTCTCCGCAGCTTCGATAGCCTGTAGCTGCATCGCCAGATCGGTCGTATCAAACAAATCCTCATCTTTGAGCCACCCGTCATTAGCGTTCAAGGGTTGTGCAGATGCTATCTCAGGCGATCCATTAATCGCCCTCGTGCCCCAGACCGTCCTTTGTGTCGAGGGGCTGGTCGACATTTCAGCTAATGTCTCGAATCCTGGTCGGGGATCCGGGGGCGTGGTGCCTGAGTGTCCGCTCAATGGTTGGAAATC